AATTAATTTTATATTTAGGAATAATACCTCTAGTAAGAGTGTATTAATTGATTAATTAATTAAAATTTAGATCTGACATCTGATGAGTAATTGTATTCAACATGGTGGAATATCAATTTTAATATTTAAATACATATATTATGATTTTAATATTAAATTTCTAAATATAATTAGGAAGCCGTGACGGTTTTGCTAGTCGTTCTAATATAATTAGTGTATTCTAAAACTGGTGATTCAAATCCAAACTGGCGATTTAGATTATATATATATATTTTTTATTTTTAGTATTTGACTTGATGGTTTAAACTATTTTTTATATAAAAAAATTATTCAACGGAAAAGATAAAATGACATTGTTAAATTAATATCTCCCTATTTCCCTTTCGTTATATGGAGAAACCACTCCTTCCTGCACTTGTTATTGCCAGAACCCAAAAAAACAACAAAACACATTGTGGCTTGCTGCAAAAAATCACTCAATTCCATTTCAGTGCTAAGGAAATTAATGAAATCCAATTTTATTACTCAACCCGGTAGTTTTATACGCAGCCCGGATAATCTTGGTTGGGTGTGACCGTGTGAGCACATTTGAGAGTTTATTCTGAAGAGAGAAATTGTTGTTTGAAGCTCTCACTCTTGTCATTCTCTATCTCCATGCTTTGAACTTGTATTTTATACAAAAACCCACCGGAGAAATTGTTGGAGAAAAAAATTTTCGGAGATCCAATTGGAGAAGACGACCACCTCGTGGACGGACTTACTTTGAGCTTGTTGTAGACATTGATGTCACAATATGTGTTTGTGATAACTAGTACCTGTGCAGTAAATAGAAGGTTGGCCTTTATATGACGAATATGAATTAAGTAAGTTTGTGGTTATTTTGTACTATATTCAGTATTGATTAGAGTGGATCATCTCATTGATTGAGATTCCCAAATTTATAATTGAATTGGATTACTAAATACTTGTCACATCTATTGTGTTGATGTTTCAGTATTTATTTCGTTGACAATGTTATTATTACTGTGACGCTTTTGAGTGTTTGAAGAAGATTTGGTCCATATTTTCCAACAAACATCAAGATAATTAAAAAAAAATAAAATAAATAGTTAAAAAAAGGAAAAAAAACACAAATTGATGAATTTTAAATTAGAACTAAATTTGGGATCGAAAATCGACAAATAAAAATTGAAATTATGATTACTTAGAATGATCGATTTCAATTCGATATTTGGACAAACAAAAATCAACGATTGACCTAACCAACAATTTATGTCAATATATAGTCACAACATCTTGAAAGATTAACAATGGATGCATGGGAAAGTATACTCACTCCATAATATATATTTTATTCATTTATATATATAAAAAAAAAAAAATTAACAATTTAACATAATATATTATATTTTTATATTAATGGTATAATTGTTCATAATTAACATAAAAAAGATAATTATCCAAACACACGAAACAAACGACATTACCCCATTTTTTATACACGATCAATTTCAATCTCACAATAATAATAATAATAATAATAATAATAATTATTATTATTATTATTATTTAATTTGGCAATGAGAGTGATGTTTACATCACGTGGAAATGGTAAGTTCCATGAGATGATGTCGGCCACTTTAACATCCATTTCCTCTGAATTGAATCCAACCCAATTATCATATCATACACTATTATATTTATTTATTTATTTATTTTATATCATTATATGCATATATATATATATATGTTTATATTACTTCTTACCCGCCACCACTATTTGCCACACATGATCCGACTAGTTGATTTTTCCGTCGAACTTGGTTTGCAGAGTATTAGATTCGGCTGGGGGTTTATCCAGTGCGCACTTTCGGATAGCGGCTGCGGGTTTCCACCTCATTTAAAAAAAAAAACACATTACATAATATTTGTTATTTACTTGATTTACTGAAAACATTCTAAAAAAGGAAATATAAGTATATCAATGATCGGTTGAAACAATCAAATTATAATAATTTTGTTGTGAACATATTTATGAAATATTGGTCTTAGAAAATAATTTTCAAAACTAAAGTTATTGAAAACTTATTGAATATCTTGTATGTCTCAATAATAGTTAAATGGCTTGGCTATATTGTGTATTGAAAAAAATGTTAGAAAAATTTGCTATCAATACAATACAGATGATTTTATACATAAAAATATCATAACAAAGAATTTAATTTAATTATTTATGTTCTTTTTACATGTAAAAATATTACTATACTATATTTAGGGGTCCCAATTTTAATATCGTCCTAGATCCCTGGGAACTGTATAAATCCATCCTATTTAATTGAGAATCTTTTCGACCTGCACGTTGGAATAACTCATCCTAATTTGGAAGCCACGTGGACTCATACACCACTAGGATTCGTCGAAATTTCAGCCATGCATGTACGACGAAATTCCGATCCGTCATTAATTACATAAACAATTTATTAATAACGCCGTTGCAGCTAATAGTATTATTACTAACTTGCATGTGTACCCTTCCCCAATAATAATAATAATAATAATAATAATAATAATAATAATTCAGAAACCAATCGGTAATGGAAAATGAAATTAATTAAAGCAACATTTACTTGTAAGTCATTAGGACACGTGGCTTTAGGGACGGTGATGGGACGGGTTTTGCAGACTCCGGGATCTTTCCTACACCGGCTTGCTTCAGCTTGGTCCCAAAATTTGTTATGTTTCGAATTCTCCGAGTTCAAAGTCAATCCGAAAATTTTGTTTTCTTTTTAAAAATAAAATATAACTTATTTAATAATATAATACTAAAAGAAAGTTTTTGAAGTATCAAAAAATTGTAGTTAAAAAAATAAAGATAATCAAATGTTAAGGGTGGTCCTTTGTAATGGCTGTTGATGACAAGCAAGATATAATTTTAGTTCAAAAAATAAAAATAATCAAATATTGTCGGTAGTTTGTAGCGATGGTGATCAGCGGCAGACGAGGGATGACAGATATCTCCATTGTGAAGATAATTGAAAAAGAAACAAACAAATTTGATTTAGAAAATAGGGTTCTATTTTATATTTTTAAAATCTTTTAAATAAATATGTAATATTATAATTTAATTATTAAAATATCTGAATTTGGATCTAGATCCAGGGTGAAATGGATTTTTAGTAAAATTTGTAATCAGCCTAAACACGGCTAAAAGTTGAAATTTAAAATTCACAATTGTTAAAATATTTTGCGGAAACTCAAAAGCTTGCCTTTGTTGATAATCAAAATAAGAGGCCTGTATATAGACAACCTAAAACAGGCTCGATAGACTCAAATCTAAACAACGTAATCTAATGGATATGACCAAATCTAAATCTAAATCTAACAAATCTAAAACTAAATATTGAAAATCTCTCGACACCCCCTCTCAAACTCGAGTGGGATCATAGAAACCAACTTGAGTTTGACAAGAAAGTTAAACAAAAACCAAAAGACGCAAACGCATATAACAGTTGCTTAATCCGTCGTTGGCGTCGCCGCTCTCGACTGAGCTTTTATTCTCGCACATAATAGTTGCTCGTATGACGTCGCCTTTGCCGCTCTCAACTAAGCTCCTGTTCTCGAACGTAGACATGATTTCTAACGCAAACGCAAATAACAGTTGCTTTGTCCGTCGTTGCCGCCGCCGCTCCGGACTGAGCTCCTATTCTCACACATAATAGTTGCTCGTCCGACGTCACCTTTGCCGCTTTCAACTAAGCTTTTGTTCTCGAACGCAGACACAAACTCTAATGCAAATGCAAATAACAATTGTTTTGTCCGTTGTTGCCGCCGCCGCTCCCGACCGAACTTCTGTTCTCGCACATAACAGTTGCTTGTCCGACGTCGCTCTCAACAAAGCTTTTGTTCTTGAATGCAGACAAACTCTATGCAAACTCAAACTCGGACAAAATTGTAGATATATCTCAAAATTAAAGATCTCCGGGTACATTCCAGGTTGAATGTACTCGGAGCAACGAGGTTTAGTAGGCTATGTCCATCCCAAGAAAAAAATAGACTTTGATATCATGTTAAAATATTTTGCGGAAACTTGAAAGTTTGCCTTTGTTGATAATCAAAATAAGAAGCCTATATATAGACAACCTAAAACAGACTCGATAGACTGAAATCTAAATAACGTAATCTAATGGATATGACTCAAATATGCGTTTGCGTTTTTTGGTTTTTTGTTTAACTTTTTTGTTAAACTCAAATTGGTTCCTACGATCCCACTCGAGTTTGAGATGGGGTGTCGAGGGATTTTTGATATTTAGTTTTAGATTTGTTAGATTTAGATTTATATTTGGTAATATCCATTAGATTACGTTATTTAAATTTGAATTTATCGAGTCTGTTTTAAATTGCTTATATATAGGTCCTTTATTTTAATTATCAATAATACAAATTTTAGAATTTTTGCTAAATATTTTAACAACAATGAGCCTCGAAATATATTTTTTAGATCCATATATGCCCCCATTAAAAAATAGATCTGGGACGGATCCCAGGCCAATCCGTCACATTTGACATCCTACGTTGTCAGTGTCAAATGAAATTGAGAGATTCATTAATTTCTACGACTAGAGTTACAACACGCACGCCACATTTCCATTAATAATTAATCTTATCGTGAAAACAACTTAATTAAACAGATGAAAAGATCAAATTAATTAATTAATAAAAAATAAAAATAATAAAAAAACCAATAATTTCATGAAACGTAAGGGCATTATTCGAAACCGATATGTCAATAAATAACAATTATTGGATGAAACGTAAAATAAAATTTGATGACACGTAAAAAAACATTATTGCACATTAAGCTGAGGTAATTAAATATTAATTAAATCAATGGTAATGGATCTAACAAACTATATATATATATATATATAGATAGGCAGCCCCACATATGCACTACCCACCACACTTGCCTATATATACACACACAAACACAACAATACAGACGTGGATCTGTCCCTGGGAGCTCAACCAAACCCTTTTTTTATTTTTATTTTTTTTATTTATAATTTTATTTTTGTTTGGATAGAGAATTACAAATTGAGTAGGCCGCAGCCACTTTAGGACATAATGGGTGCCGGTGGGTTTCATTTCAGCGCCGCCGTGGCCCTTCTTTTCCTAAATTCAATTGCGGCGGCGGCGGCGGCGGCGGTGAACGTGACGGGCAGCCTGCAGGGGTGCAACATATTCCGGGGGAAGTGGGTGTACGATGCGTCGTATCCACTCTACAATTACGCCACGTGTCCCTTCATCGACGACGAATTTAACTGCCTCAAATTCAAGAGGCCGGACCAGGCCTACCTTAAGTACAGGTGGCAGCCCTTCTCCTGCAACCTCCCCAGGTATAATTAATACATACATATATATACATAGGTTCAGCTGGGTTTAACCAGACCCATTTTTGGGTAGCGATGGCTGATTTTAACGTCATTAAAAAAAAATATATGTATATATGTCTTTGTTTGTCTATATATATATATATATATATATTATGGTAATTAATTAATATGATAATTGTTTTGATGGATTGAGCAGGTTTAATGGGGTGGCGTTCTTGCAGAGGTTTAAGGGGAAGAAGATCATGTTTGTGGGTGACTCACTGAGTTTCAATATGTGGCAATCATTGGGGTGCATGATTCATTCCTGGGTCCCCAGCTCCAGGACCTCCTTCACCAGACGGGATGGACTCTCCGAGATCGCCTTCCTGGTAAATATTAAGTTACATTTTGGATAATTACATTTACAAATTACAATTACATTAACTTCACCATCAAAAAACATATGCATATATGTGTATATATATATATATATTATGTGGATTTTTTTATTTTTTTTAATTAAATTTGTTTTCTTACGCATGTATGTCCGTTGTCTTTACACTTTTGCATCTATTCTGCGTCACATCAACATTTCTTTCATATTAGATAATTGGATAGGATGAATTTTTAAATTTGAATATTCTTTCTCTAAAAGTTTTGATGTCCATGCATGAATCATTTTGTGGTGCCATGACTTGCATTCCAATTCAAGATTTTGGTAGTGTTTTAATATTTTGGGTATTCTTTTTGGATTTTTATTTTTTTTTAATATAATGATATTTATTTGATATATATATATATATATATATATTTAGAAAAAAAATATTGTATTCTGTAGGAACTCCAAAAGAATAGAGAACAAAACTATAGAGTCTTATATAGCAATTTTTTTATGCGGAGATGTCATTAATTTAAACATGATAACTAAAAGAATAAATAAATAAAAGCACTCAAATATTAGTTAACAATATTGGGAATAAATTTTCAATTTGGAATTTGCTTTAGTTTTGACTTTTTGAGAAAAAGGAGAATAAAGAAAATGATTCATATTTTTATAAATCCTTACAAACAATATATATGTATATCTATATATAGTATATAAAGAGCCTGTGGGGTAGGGTGGGGGTGGTGGGATAGAATTTTAAGTTTATAGTTTATACAGACATTAATCAGCTGGAAATGAAAGTTTTAGGTATATAGTTAAGTGTAGGAAAACTTTAAGGCCCACAAATCCACTTTATTAGTATAATTAATTAATTAGAGTAGAACAGCTAATTTTCGACTTTATTATATATAGGCTGGCCATGGCTACATCAAAATAAATAAATATTTCCTATGTCTTTTTATTAGAGATCTAGATATGATTTTTATCAATTGGTTAAGATGCTCAATCGATCTTTTTCTCTATTTAGAAGCTCCAATTCCACTTAAAAAAGTGATCTTGTGGTTTCTTCCACTTAAAAGTGATTTGGGATGTTACCAAAATTTGAAATATATATATATATATACATATGAATTAAATATATACACACAAATACACAATAAGTTTTCAAATCAAAGTGCATGGCAACTGTAATTTCATTTTGTCAAAGATAGAAATATCCAGCCAAAAAAAATTACTAAACAAAAAGGGTAAGGAAATCATTACGATCAAGAAAATGAATTTAATCAATCAATCAATGAAGAATGGCAGAAATTTAGGTGCATGATTGATATACAAATATATAGAATATATCAAGTTGAAGCAAAATAATGTGAATAACAACCAATATTCAAAAAGAATTTCAAGATGATCACCTCATGATTTCGACATTGAATTTTATATATATGACACAAATAATTAATCTTGATTGCACATAACAAATAAATAAAAACCCACTTCGATTGAGACTTTTATCATGTTAATTCTTCTATTTTTTCTTTGGATTTGCTTTAAAAATAGTAAAAAGTTTCAATTATATATATACAGATATTCTAATTTGATTAATTTAGTATATGAATACCACACGTACATTAAATTATATTATTTTATATGTATTTTCTATTCTGAAAATTATTCTTAGTCACGTGTTTTGAGTTATTATATATATATATATATATTTTATAAAATATATATGTGGTGATGTTTGAACTATAAACTGAATGATTGGACTTAATTTGGAGATGTGTAGGGAATAGTGGGTGCGGGGTGAGGTATTCATTAATTGAATAATTCATTTATGGGTAGGGTCCATATATAATTAATTCTACATATAATTTGGAGTTTCTTTTATGGACTTTTCTGGGCTATAGTATATCATTCATAGTATTTTGTACTTATTATATAAACAATCTTAGAAAATAATAATAATAATAATAATAAAAAAATTAAAAATAAAGAAATTAATGAAGAAAGTCAATACTTTGCCTATAAATTTCTGAATCTCTTTATTAATTGAGAGAAATTTCTCGATGTTATCTGAAACTAATGAAATAAACATTTCAAGAGAGAATTGGTTTATTGAAAGTTAGTTAGGTTAGGTGTATAGATGAAAGACAATTTGGACATTACATAAAGTGCGAATGGTCCAATAAGATCACATTATTGTTATTATTATTATTATTATTATTATTTTCATAATATAATATTAAATAAAAAATTAATAATTAAAAAATAATTGATAGTAGAATAGATCCTGACCCAAAATCAAATTAATGTTTGAACAGTGGACCAAGACCTGTAGAGTTGGCTGAAAAAGCCTGAACTATTGTTGAGTGTGATATGACTTAAATTTTGTTTTTGAGAAATTTTTGGGTTGGGCTATTTTTATTTAGAGTTTGGTTATATTTTTTTTAGTATATAATTTTTATAAAAATATATTAATATCAAATTCAAATCAGCTTCAACCCAAAAATCTGGGGAAAAAAAATAATAAAAATAAATCAAACTACAAATAAACAAATTCAAAATATTTAGCAACCTTTTTATTGGGACTTAGTTCGCAAACTACTGTGTTTGATCCAAAATTTATTCAAAATGTAATCGAAAATTGTTTTGTTTTTAATTTTTTTCTATATTGTTTTGTTTCTTGAGGTGATATCAAATCAATATATATATATATATATAATAGAGATATATAATACACATTTCTGTATAATACGGTATTAGACACATATAATAGAAATATATAATATTATGTTTTATAGAAGTATATATTTTATAGTTTATATATTGTATTGCGTTGAAATTAAAAATATATTGAATTGTGTCCAACTTAATAATGAGTTTGTTTGGTTAGTGTTTTGATTTGAAAATATTTTTGTTTTTATCTAAAAAAAAATTAGAAAATTACTTAAAAGTAATATAAAAATATTTTTAGCTAATAAAAATATATATTTTGTTAATTGTAGGAAAAGCAAAAGCAAAAGGAAACTAACTCGTTTTTTATTTAATTATTTCGAATAAAAAAATTTAAATATAAAACAACAATTTTCTAAATAAAAAATTATTATAAAATTGAATAATAAATGCACCAATCAAAAGGGAATTAAAGAGAAAGACACTTGTTTGAATTTCGAAAGCCTTATATGTCTTCTGATTCATATATTGTGAGTCTGTCGTTACAACTTCTCTATTTTATCAAACAGATTATTAACAAAATGAAATTCAAATGCAAATGCAAATGCAGGATTATGACTTCCGGTTGCTGCTGTATCGGACGCCATACTTGGTGGACATGGAGAAGCAGCAGAACGTGGGCACAGTTCTGAAGCTGGACTCCATCCGAAGCGGCGACTCCTGGCTCGGAATGGACATGCTCATCTTCAACACCTGGCACTGGTGGACTCACACCAAGGCTTCTCAATCTCAGCCGTACGATCGATCACCTACAATCATCATATGAAATATACACATATATCTATCTCTGTATCTATCTATATGTATCTATTTCGATTTGCAGGTGGGATTACATCGAAGAAGGAGGCAAGCTCTACAAGGACATGAACCGTCTGGTAGCATTCTACAAAGGCCTAACGACGTGGGCAAGATGGGTCAATCGCAACGTCGATCCTTCCAAAACCAAGGTCTTCTTCCAAGGGATTTCCCCCACGCATTATCTGTAAGCACTGTAGCCATTTTTCTGATTTCAGATTGTTCAATTAATTTCTTTCAATAATTTTCAAATTGAATTTGGAATGGAATGGCAGAGGGAGGGAGTGGAACGAGCCGTCCAAGTCCTGCAAAGGGGAGAGTCAGCCGTACTTCGGATTGAAGTATCCGGCGGGGACTCCGATGGCGGGCGTGGTGGTGGAGAAGGTGCTGAGCAGGATTAAGAAGCCGGTGTACTTGCTGGACGTCACGCTGCTGTCGCAGTACAGGAAGGATGGTCATCCGACGTCTTACAGCATCCACAACGGGCTCGACTGCAGCCATTGGTGCCTCCCCGGATTGCCGGATACCTGGAATTTGTTGCTCTATACAGCACTATTTTCCGGCTAGGAATAGGATACTTTTGGATTGGATTGTCCATTTCTGTTTTGTGTTTTTTTGTGGGGAGAAGTGTTGAATAAGAAGAACTAATTGATGATCGATGATGTATCGATAGATGATTGTATTCAATTGTGTAGGATGAAAGGCAGACAGAGAAATTCATTGTTTTTTATATATATATTTATATTTATATGAAGTGGGAATTCGCAGTCGCTGCCCGAAAGTGCACACTGCTTAAACTTTCGGCCAAAGAAAAATTAATTGTTTTTGACATCATGGTGTATGGTGGTTTTACAAAAATGCAGAATTAATTAAGTAATCAGTCTGATGATTTGTTGAATATTATCCCAGAAATATATGGGACTTAAATTTAAAATATTTTGCTTGCTTGGATCTCAAGGGGTGTTATCTTTTTGGACTTTCCCCTCTTTTGCAAAATAAATTTTTCTAGATATATATGTGTGTATTTTTTTTAATAATATTTGCAGGAATCGAATATAGTGAAATCAATAAACACACTCTAAAACGTCCCAATTTGAAATTTTGGAAATGATTGAAATGAAATATTTAAGGCTTTGTTTTTCCAATTTTTTTTTCTTAACATGATTTTATCTTCTAAAAAAGTAATATTTAATAGAAAATATTATTTTTTATATTACCAATTTAATTATTTATATTTCACATAAAAAAAAAAAAAAATTCTTCAAATCAAAACACTAAACAAATAAACCCGAGGTGTTTTTCTTTTTTCATGTTCTACACATGTTTTTTACTATTTAGTGTACAAGTCCTACAAATATATATATTTTTCGACCATCAAATATTAAATCAAACATTATTTCAAGAAAAAGTCCAAATAGAAAAAATATATATATATATATTTCAAGACATGGGGTTAAGTTAACAATAATCGATTTCATTTAATAAAATCTATTTTTAATCTTCCTAAAGTATCCAATCATTAATAATGTATACCATTGACTTTCCTGTCGGGCCGATTTGCAGGGTATTAAATTCGGCTAAAGGTTTACCCAGTATACACTTATGAGTAGCTGCAGGTTTCCATGTCATAAAAAAATAGTCCAATTATGCTGATTCAACGAATTGGGAAAATGCTGAGTATTATTATGTGTTAATATTTTGGAACTCCAATTTATTCGTTGAAATAGTCAACACTCAATAATGTTACAAACATTATTTCACTTTTTTTTTTTTTTTTATCTTGTTTATTTCTTTTATTTCCTAGATATGAACTTTCCTTTGCCATAGAACAAAAACAAATCGAACACGCAGCTAACATATAAGGAAAAACATTATTAAACCATGAATTGAAGATCAATCCATTTGCTGAATCACTAATCATATCACAAAATTGCTAAAAATAAATCAAATTCAATCAAACCCCAACACAAGAACAAGAACAAGTTCTAAAAAAATTATATAATTCCACGAATTAATTACCGCACAATTTAACATCACAAAACAGATATTCCCAGAAGATAAAGAAGCTAAAACAATAAACTGGAATTCAGCAAGGGATCTTAGAAGTAAACCACTCCATGACATGAATGGGGGCTTTGATGAGCTCCAACGCGAGCTCGACCAGCACCGTCACGCAGAGGCAGCAAGGACATATGCAGCTCAACAATAACCTAATTAAGCAGTTCCCCCAATTTTACATAATTAAATCAACGAACAATCCACCATAGAAATTAAAAGCCAAATCAATCGAGGAAATGAGGTGCGTGAGGTAGGGAGAGCTGTGCTTACCCGACGATCCAGACGGCCACTCCAACGATGGAGATGAGGAGGGAAAGGAACGCGAAGGGAAGGCCGAGCAGAAACCCTAAAGGTCTGCACTCACCGTCGCAACACATACTTTAATTTGCTGATTTCCTCGATCTGTGTGGAAATTGTAACTGAATCAGGTCGGGTATCGTTTTTCCGGCGGACGCAGAGCGGGCGGCGCTTGCAGATGGGAATTGCAGAGGAGAGAGAAGGAGACACGTTATTGGTTTCGTTTGCGTATAGTCTAAGAGAAAAAAGAGTATATAAGAATTTAATAATATGGATAATGGTTGTGTTGTATGCGTTGTTATCAATGAAATGCATTGCCAGCAAAATCGCGTCAGATTTGCTGGATTATTATTATTATTATTAATGATTTTATTTCTATTAAACATATCTTATTACTACAACTATTTATTTAATTAAACCATGTATGTTAAAATTATTAATGTATCAATTATTTGTTATAAACTAAATATAAGAAAAAAAAAAAAAAAACTGATGTGATGCCGTCCTTAAACGTGTTCACTCTATAATAAAAAAATAATAATAATAAATAAATAAAATTTAAGAGCGGAGAATTTAGGTGTGATTTTGCATTATCACACTTAAGCAGAGTATTTAAATTGTTCTATCAAATTCTTTTACTTGAATCAATTGTTCTTTTTTTAATAAGAGATGATACCCACTAATAAACAACAAAAATAAAAATTTTTAACATGAAAAATTCCTTCAAAATGAAGGATAAAAATCACAAGGGCTATCACTCCATCTAAGACAAAATTCATTATATTAAAAAAATAGTACAATCAAATATAACTACAATCAAAAGGCTATTAAAGTTCATACTCAATTATAAGAATTGAACCACAATAACATGAGGTATGTCAACTAAAAACAACGCATTCCAATCAGCAACCAACAAGATTCAAAATCGAATCCAAATAAGTAAATAGTGAGAAATCAATTATACCAAAAAAAAAATATCCAAGGATGATGAGACCGTTGATCGGAATCGAGTTGAAGAAATTCTCTGTCTCTTTTCAAAATTGATCCCACTCTCAAACCCAACAAAATCTTATCCGAATACTCATTCGACCTAATAATTTTCAAGTTTAAATTTAGGTATTTTGGATTTTAAAAAATCAGAGGCTATTCGAACCCGAAATAAAAAAGCCGCGTTGGTTCAAATCGAATTTTGAGTTGACTTGATAACCTCGAAAAGGATCTTTGATGTCATAATACTACCAGCAATCTAACTTGTTACCAAACAGACCATGGCACTGGCCGTACACACGGGAGAGAAAGGAACCAAGCGTAGATAGAATAATGACAAGCAAAATTGCATTTAATTTATTATAATTAATTAACAGCCGTGATGTCATAAACACAAAAAAACATCTAATGGTTACCAAAGGGAAGGATGTTAGATTGTTAGGCTAGAATTAATTGGTGGGCAGCTTTGTTTGTTTCTTAGGTTCAATACAGCTTACGTCATGTCTTATTACTATGTCTGTCTGTATTTCCTTTCGTATTACTTTATCCCCTTCTTTTCGTAACAAAGTATTTATTTTTTTTTTTTATTAACTGTACTATCTACCTAACATTACAAATATCCTTACAACTTAAATATATTACACAAATATCATTATCTTTATATCACACATACTATTAAAGTTATTTTAGTTATTTTTACTTTATTCCTACTATATCATACTATAATACTAATATTTCTAAAACTACGTACAAAAAACAAATGAATACTTACTTCTGGAACGAAGAGAGTATTATTATTCAAAAATTTTGGATAAAATAGCCGTTAAATATATGAAATTTTGGGTGAAAAATAATAATATTATTAATAACAAAATATGTGATATATATATAAAAGAACAATATAGATTCAATAGACTCAATAGACTCAAAATAACGCCAATCCAATCTAAATAATAGAGATCCATAAAACAAAATAATCAAATAATATATATATACATATATTTCAACATCTTCCCTAAATAGACACCATAGAAGCGAGCTTCAGTTGATATAAAAAACGACTGAGTCTCGTAATCTGATGATGTGAGGATGGATTCGTGACCATAAAATCATATGTTCAAATTCCGACATCTTCAAATTCATCCGTCACACATGATTAATTTATATAACCTGATTTTCAATGAGCAATATATAATGACGAACAAAATGACAATCAATCTAAATATAATTTGTGCTTTCATGAAAATGTCATTATGAAAATTCTGAATAGCAATTCTATTATCATATTGATGTACTCCAAGGTCAGCATATAACCAAAGAAACCATAAAAGTTCAAAAGCAGCATCAACAATGACACGGTGTTTAGATTTCATGCTGGAACGAGAGCCGAGAGACAAACTGTTTGCTTTTCTCTACGCCATGTCACAAGAGAATCACCAAAAGAGAAATAAAAATAGCGACCATGTGATCCATGAAGCACTCTACCTACATTTATTAAATATACGCAAGCCACAGATCGAGACATATATTCATTAATTTTTTCTTTTGTGTTACATCCCACAAATTATTATTCATATATATATATATATATATAATGGTGATTGCTTATTAATTTACAATGAAATACAATTAGTTGTGACTGTCTTTAGTGTTCTTGTTCAACTTAGGAGGTGGATTATGAATTGGATCAGGCCCTACTGGTATTTTTCTCAACTCTTGTCCTAGATTTGCCCCGCCATTCGATGTCGAATCAGCTCTCTCCATGGCACCATTTTTTTCCATTCCGGATAGATCAAACCCTAGACGATTTTCGAATAGCGCTTGGGCCTCGATCCACTTGTGTCAAACACCAAGAACATAAGATGAATAAAATGCTAAGAGAAAAATCAGTAATGCAGTTGGAAAAGCCATTTTCTTGATTGAATTAGTTAATGCAAATCAAGAATGGATTTAGGGTTCCTTTATATAGGCCAACATTTGGTGTTTGCAAGTGGATAAGTGTTGGTTAATCATTAAGAACTAGAAACGTGTAGGCTGTGTAATGAGATTATGTAGACTTTCATTGCTCATGTATATTTGTTATCTAATCACATCATAATACTATTTCTCATTAATCTTTATGAAACTAAATAATACTTTCTCCGTCCCGCCACAGATGACTCATTTTCTTTTTTTGTCCGTCCCATTAAAGATGACCCTGTTCTATTTTTAATAAATTTATTCATTTTAAATATATTTAACAAATATAAATCAATTTACTTAAATTTCTAATCTTACACGTAGGACCACTCAAAATTCCTCTATTTTTATCCATCTCCTCAATAAATAAATATTTTTATCTATATTTAAAATTTATTATTTTTAATAAAATTAGTTTTAAGTTAATTATAAATAAATTAATTAAGCAGAGGGAGTATTAACTACGTAGATGATAAATATAACTGTATGTTTTTTCCTTTTTAGAATTTGTTTTTTACTTTTAATTAGTGGTTTCGGTAATATTTTATGAGAATAAGTATTATATTTATTATAAATAATAATAATAATAATAATAATAAAATTACAATATTTTCAACGTAGTTGAAGTAAAATCCACTTTCAGTTACCCTAGCTATGACGTGCATCTGTGGTTTAATCTATTTATAGGTAGATATTTCATATTTAGGCTGTATTTTATTTGGATTTTTTTTTTTTTTTTTCTTTTTTGTATTTATAAGAAAAATTTCTTTAACAAATATATTTAATTTTTTTTATATTAAGTTAAATATGAATTTTATATATAACAACAATATTTAATTATTATATCATGTTAAAGAATTATTTAAATTTATATTTTTATTGTTAAGAAAATCTAAAATCTAATATAATTATTACAATTACATGTAACAAGAGTCTCACCGTTATATGATTACAAAATTATTATGCTATGTCACAATATAATGTGGAAATACGTTATACTATTTTTTAAAAAAAATAAATTTATACCCACTATATATATATATATATTATGTTATGTTATAATATTACTCCATATAATAAGGATAGTTATAATAATAATAATTATTATTATATTATAATAATATAGTTATTATAAATATAGCTATCCTTATTATATAATACTATTATTATATTTTGTTGTTGTTGGTTCGTTTATGTAGCATTTTTTAAAATGAATTGATATTTTGTATATTATATGAAAAATTGTGTTAAAAATATAAATTTATTATTTTAAGTTAAATATTTAATTTTTTAATTTTTATGCGAGTATTTGAATTTTTTTGAATTTTTTGATTTTTGTAAAAGAAAAAAACTTATAATTTGTTATTACTTTTAGGAATCACAATTGAGAAATTTGTTCGGAGAAGAAAGCCGTTGTTGTTCTTATTTGTTTTATAAGGGTTTGTTTGCTTTTAATTTGAAATTGAGTATTTGATTTTAATTTTGGTTTAAACAATATTTTGATGATTATAAAAAAAAAATAATATGGACCAAATAGCGTTGATTTATATTTAAAGCACGAATCAGACACGCCATTGTGTTTCGGCATTTAATATTTTAAGTAGCGTAGATCAATGAGTTATTAATAATAAATTATAATATCATTTTATAATTTTTTATATAAATAGTATTATTGTTATTTTAAAAATATGAATTAATAAATATAATTAAAAAAATTAGAATATATATTTAGATATTTTTAATATTATATTTCAATAAAATAAAATGTTATTTTTTTTATATGATTGATACATTTCTTGTAGGTCTAATATAAAAAATAACAAAATTAACACATGTAATTAGCATATTATGGCACTTAATTGAAAAATTAGTCAATATACAATCAAAATTTAGCACATATAATTCTCACATCATTAAAATAAGAAATACTATACAAATAAAATAAGCAGGTTGGCCAGTCTTTTTTATCTTCTATCAATTTATTTTTTATTTTTTATATTATATTAAAAATCATTTTACATTCAAAGCATCACATCTAATACTTATTTATATTATATCACATTATACAACTATTTTAATTCAAATTTTTTATTAGGTCACCTGACACACATGGTTCGCCTAGTGTGACTTTCCCGCCGGGCCTGATTTGCACGGTGTTAAGTTCGGCCGGGAGTTTATCCAGTGCGCACAGCCACAGCAGGTTCTCACGTTCAAAAAAAAAAAAAAAAAAAAAAACATTTCTCGGGACAAAATCCAAAAATGGATGACCTGCAAGCAAATTAAAGTACTGCAAGATTTCCCTAAAGTAAAGGATAGATTCCAATAAATCGTATAAGCCTGCACACCTTTTAATTAATATAATTTTACTAATATTGAGTAAAAAACTGCAGGCAATATACGATGATCCATTTATTTGTCTTTTGAATGTTTTAAAATAATTTCAAAATTAATTAATTAATTAATTAATTTTTTAAAATAACCTAAAGAAAATTGATTTAGATTGTACAACACGTACAAAGAGAGGGTAGTATAAGGGAGGAGGAAGTTGATGATATATTACAAGGAATAAAAATAGCTTCTTTCCTTTGTCTTCACATAGTTTAATCATTGCACTACATCCAATATATATAGTTTAATAATTGATTTCTTATCACCAAAAAAATAAATTATATTCATCCAATATATATATATAACTGAAAAATTTCAAGAAGTTGCTCTGTTTTCTAAAGAACCAATTCTTTCTTCATCTTTCTTGAATCAATCAAATTATACCTCATGGAGAAGCCAAAGCTGAATTTCAAGAAACCACTTATATCCGTGAGGCGAATCCGCCACACAAATGTAGGATCGCCGTCGCCCCCGCCGCAGCCTATTGGGAGTCCCGGAGCTGCTGTACCTTTTCATTGGGAGCGAGTCCCGGGGCAGCCAAAGAACAACGAGCCCCGGGGCTCCGAGACCCTGAAGGCACATCAATCTCTTGATGGAAGCAATGAAAAGAAAATTTTCGAGAGATGCAGCAGTTGTAGTAAGATAAGGAATAAGATTGCGCGCGACTTTGATGAGTCGCGCCATGCAGCACCATTCATCGAACAATCATTTTCCTTTTCCCTGTCGAGGACTCAGTCATTCTTCTTACAATGCAGCCCGGTCGGGATTGAGGATTATTATTTACCTTCTGTTTCCGAGACTGGTGGCAATAGACTTTCGTCTTACGAGGCATTAATGGATATGGATATGGATACGGATACGGATTTCCTGACTAATAGTTTGGGACTAGACGATAATAAAAGAACACCAATGCATGTAGAAGTTGGGTCAGGGTCAGGGTCGGATCTTTTGGTTCTTCCTCTTCCGAAGATGCCTAAATCTCCATCGGATTCGTGGCTTCGGCGTACAATGTCCATAAAGAAAACCATGGATGATGGCCTAACACATGCTAGGACATAATTGGATAGAAAGCTATCTAATTCTCAATTTAATTCAACTTAAAAAACATAAAAAAAGAAAGGAAAGAAAAAAAAAAAAAAAAAAAAACGGATATTACAGCATAGTCCTTCTACTGTTATTTACCAATACATGCTTTCATTCAGGTTCTTTCGTATGATTGAAATTTTTAAAAAAGTGAAATTGATATTAAATTTTTAATTTTGATAAATTAATGTAATATCTAAAAATAATATATTTACATATGTATATATGTAGTCGGTGTTATAATTATTGAATTATTAACAAGACTGTTCTTAGGGTGTCTGATGTTGTAAAACTATAAGCACCCTACTTTTTTTACTATAGCCTTAGGATTAGATTTAATGATTAATCCAAGAAATATCAACAAATGAGATTAAAATTGTAAATTTGAATAATATATAATTAAAAATGTTACAATAATTAACAAATTGCATTATATTAATTATGGTTTCAAATTCTATCTAAATCTTTGATCATATTATATTGTGCTATCAACAGCATATAATTCAAATCTAACTCGATAATATGTGCAATGCATGGTGAATGAAAAATACATAATTTGGTTTCATAAAAATAACTATACTAATTTACAAAATCTTGATTAATTACATTGTACATAATGTATGCCATTAATTATACTTTTTTCTTCTCAACATACGTGTATTTGTCAATTTCCCAAACTATCAAAAAAATACATGTTTGGATGGGATTTTGATATGGATTTGAGGTTTAAGAATAATAAAATTTTAAGTTAAAATATATTTGGGATGGTATCTAAATAAATTTTCTATGTAATCATTTGAATAAAGATTGTAAAGTAAAAACATATATTTTATGTATTTGATTCAATGTTTTTTTTTTAAAAAAAATAAATAAAGAGTACGAATATAACTTCAGTCTCTTCCAAAATATTATTTTTCACAATAACAATCTCCAATTCATAGACATCAATAATCACACCAAGCATTTTATCTCAGAACGCCGGCATGCATTACTCTCATAATCGACTAACTCCTCGTAGTAGCCGATTCAGTCTTTAAATCACTTGGCTTCAAATTCGACAGCGCCTGGTGTTTGGTGATGATGGGGATCAGGGCCATCCGGCACTTTTCTCAGTTGGTATGACAACGACGGAAACGAGCCACCACCACTACGTAAAGTTCTAAATGACGACGCCATTTCAGTGTCGCTCGATTCATCATACTGAAGAACACGCGCCGATCGAGACATAGGAGTTGTGAGCACAAATGTTACAAGGATAATAAGTAAAGTGTTGCTTGCAACAGAATTGGCCATTTGTTTTTATTTAACAAGCTTAGCACATACAATTCAGAGAAATGGAAGAATTGAGATGTGATAACTCTCAAGGAGTTCTTATATATATACACATTTCTGTGGAAGGGATTACTAGTCAAGTAGTTAGTAATATTTTATATAGCATTACAAGATTATGTAATAGCTAATGGGATTTTTGAATTGCATTTGTAATTATATTTAGTAGTTACAAAATAATTTTACTTATTCTTATATTTTAAATAAAATAAGATTTTACATGTGGCGGTTTGTATTTTTGTAGGTGAATCCCATGTGAGTAATTCTAATGGAAACATATGCACACTTTTTTATTAGATTTATGATACAAGTGAATTGCAGATGACAATACGCAAATTATTGATATCCCAGCATCATTTCAATTCTCTTAAAGGGATTAAATTAGAGATTAGAAAGTTAACAGGAAAATAAACCTGCACAAAAGGGAGTGGGTGCAGCTCAGACAGTTGAAGATCAATTATTCAACAGAAATCGATGTAATTCACTGGAAAAGGCTGTGACATGATCATACCATTACCAATGATGTATTTTACAAAACAAACTCTTCATCTTGATTTTCTTCCTGGTCTTGCAACAGAAATTTAGTCCACAGGCTAGAACAAAAATGACAACTGTTACCTGGAGATACACCATAGTCTTCAAACCTGGAATAGAGCTCTTCCTGTGATATTCTAAAATGAAAGAGTATGATTCACAATTCAACAAAGAGACACAAAGAGTACCTCTAAGTTTCTGTGTTAGGTTCTCCATACGAACCCCAGTTTTTGTGTTGAGCCCTTCATAATTTATTTCCCCATCTAAAATGCCTCCATCCATTACACAAGTGTTGGGACACATGACAGTTCCATCATATTCATCACTTCCATCGCAACAATCTAATACAACACAAGTTAAAAAGAAAATAAGAATGGAGAAGTATAATAAACTACTAAAGTAAAAATGTCATGCAGGAAGCTCAAACTATCTCTTACAGATTTTAAACATATACTCCTTCAGCCCCCCCCCCCCCCCCCCCAAAATATGTCAATTTTGGTTTTTGGTTGTCATGTCACTTTTTATAAGATGTAAAAAATAACAAATTGTAATAACAATTAAATCTTAACTAATTTAAAATACTTTATTTAGTTTTTCTACTCATAATTATTTCAACAATTCATTTTTAATTACCTTTAATTAGAACCCATAAAAATAGGTATAGCCTGAAAACCTGACTTGGACATGATACGAAAATTGGACTCCAGCAAAGACCGACTAGAGTTTTTCAAAAAATAAAAATAATTTTCATTTCAATATTTTAAACAATGTATTCCATAATTAATAAACTCAAACGGTGCCTTTGCTTGATAGTTTGAGTTTTGAATAGTAAATTTGTTTTATTTGAACAATTGTTTGATATGATATAAATAAGTATTGATGTGATATTTTCAATGTAAAATTAATTTTTTTAAATAATAAAAAAATAAAAAATAGAAGTTTGATTTTATACTTTTAGGAGGACAAATTGATGAATAGTAAAAACCTTTAGAGAAAATCCAACCAAACACAAAAAATGCATATGCAATTATTGCATGGGTCAAACAGTTCAGTGACCTCGGGATTATGCCTTTCGAAGAGGCTATCGGATGTTTGTAGGCATTCGGGGAGCATGAAAAGGTACACATACCTATCAAAATTAGAGACAATAAGATACCACTTACTGAAAAGGATGAAAGAGGCGACAAAGGAACAAATGGAAGAATTTCTTTGATGGATGAAGCAATTGCAACCAAAGTGGATGCAATTGGAGAAACAACAGTGAAAAAAGAGAGCACAACAATGCACTAGGGATGGCGCGAAAGACTATGGCAGAAGTGGCCGAGACAAATGCCACATCAAATGCTTCAAGTGTGAAAAGATGGAACATTATGCATGATGTTGGAGCGTACATGATAAAGCAGAGGTCAACTTGCCTCTCTTGGAAGAAGAGGGCAACCTGACTTGCAATTGTAGGCAATATAGACTAAGGAGCTCAAGCAAGAACCTTAACTGAAGAAACTGATTGAAATATTACAAGACCCTCCCTATGATGGACGAATTTCTTAAAATTCAAGGGTATTTTGGTATTAATATTTGGATATTTTTACTATAATAGAAAAGTGATAATTTTGAGTGGGACAGACGAAAATAATAAAAATTATACTTTTAGTTGGGACGGAGGGTGTATAACTTACCACAAAATTGATCGTTCACACGAGATGAAAACAAGAATTTTGGTTTACTCCCCATAGTTCTGCAGTAGAATGTGCCAGAAGGGCATGCAGAAGTTCCTACATAACCAAAATATTATGGAACAAACTTTAAGTGACATAGGACTAAATAATATTAAAAAAATCAATTGCAATTGGCATGAAAAATTAACACATATTACATCGGAACTTTTATTGTCATTGTAAGATTGGCAAAAAAAGGGCTGTGTCTTATCAATAATGTGGTCCTGCAAGGATAGATTAAGTTTTCTTGATCTTACTCGTTCTTGCATCACTGTAACTAAAAATAAAGTCTACTGCGTAATCAAATCTCTACTAGATTGAAAATAAATATATAAATGAATAAATATAAGTGGAAATCTAGATTAAAAAGAAGTAGCATTTAACTTCTGTAACTAACATTTAACTTCAAAGCTCTCACTTATAAGTTCTTAATTACCCCAAATCGACTGTGATAGTCATCTTCGTGTCACATATATGTCTTCCATATTTAAACCTAACTGTAGTGCTTTTTTTGGTACATCATCTAATGAGAAAAAACAAGTTTGGTATGTGAAGTGTCCATTGCCATTTTTCATGTGGAAAGAGTATCCTATCATTAAGACTCATAAATAGTTAAACTTCTGAGATTTGGTACTACATTTTAGTTCAAAGATCATAAATGGAGAAAAAACTTAGAGCAGAACTTATGAACTATATACAAAAAACAAATAGATATTTAACAGGGAGCAAGCATCTAAATACTCCGGTAGTGTTGAGTGTATCGCCAGGACCAGAACTTATTTAGCATAGAAAAAAGGAAAGAATACCACTTCCACTTATTCAGCTAAGGAAAGGGAAGTACTTGCAAATACTACAATCCTTTAGCTGGTTTGGATAATAGTAATTTCTATAAGAAGGATTGACACATACAAGGGGACTGATACTGCCTCATTCTTCTCGAAATTTAACCATGTTTCGTTTTCTCATTTCTATCTCACTTTAGAGCTTCTGTGGTAACATGGACTAAGATAAATTCTATCAAGATATTAACGTCGCAACAGAATTAAATGATATCTTCACCTCTGGCAATAATACTAAAAGCGCCCCAGGCCACAAAATCAAAGAAACTATGGATCTCCTTCATCAAGATATGAGTCAAATGCTGATTGAAAATGACAAAAGAATAAGAAAAGTAAGAGACAGAACTAGAAATTTACCAGGCTCATCAGAGCCATCAACACAATCGCAGAAATTGTCATTGAGACGGTCTCTGGTAAAGGATTTCGACCCATCTTTGCATTTGATTATCTCCGCTTCATAGTACTTCTCGTCTGCGAATTCAAATACAAAATACTGATAACTTAAACATGCGTTCCCTCCCCAGTGTATGAGACAAAAATAAAGAAATTGAAGATAATATAAACCTCTAGGATGGGCTCCAACCGGCAAGCGAGAAGGAGAGGAATATGACAGGTTGATCCAGGAAGCAGAAAAACACAAGCAAGCGATCATGACTGCAAGACTCATCGCCGCTTCAATTCCCTCACAGATCGGTAACAGAATCATCCTCTATCAGTCATACATAGCGTCAATTGATTTGGGGCTCTAGCAGCAGTCCACTCATTTCCTTCAGAAACTGGCGTATAATGAGAAGGGTTTATAGAGTCAGGCATGACTTGGAGAGTTTTGAAATGAAGTATCTGATAGTCTCGTTCAAATCAAAGCATCGCATCGCCTTCTGAAATCTACAGCCGATCTAGAAGCCGAAAGGTTAACGGAATTTGGCGATTTGGGCGGTCCTAGTGCTAGCAGGAGTTGGGCTTTTAATAATAACACCTTCACAAACGTGGGAATTGGGGTTTTAACAAGGTATCAATTTTTTTAAATTTCTTACCCTTTCAATTTATTATCTATTTACATTTATCACTATTACATTTTAATATAATATTAATATTTTTAAAATTTTTTAAAAAAAATAAATAAATAAATAGATATCGAACTAAGGGAATAGTATTCAATTTTTACAATTACTACAAATCTCTACTTAAAAAATATCACATTATTATTCAAATAAAAATAAAAAATAAAAGATTAAATTAAAAAATAAATAAATAAATAAATCACCAACCAAATACATACTTAAAATGTACCTAAAACTTACTTATATCTCATTATTATTAAATTAATTAATTTTAATCTCATTGATAAATTTTAATTTCATTAGAAATATTATTAATTAATTTTGGTTGTCCTATTACTTTTCCAATAAAATCGCTTACATAAATTGACTTGAACACAATTAGATGACTTAAGAAAATTACTGAAATCTACTTATAAATAATAAGATTGTGTTAGATCCAACATGATTATGTTAAAACATATTAAGATAATTTAAACATATATAGATCAATATATCCTCTAAGAGATGTTCAGAGTAGTGTACGATGAACGGGTGATTATTAAGTCATCTGTACAAACCTTCGACAATTTTTGCATCTTATCTGTAATATATAGTTAGTTTAGTATGACTTATAGTTGCGGGTTTGTAAATTCACTATAAAATTATTTATCGATCTTTTCAACTAAAAATCAGTCAAGACTAGAAATCCCACAACCATGTATAAAACAAAGCATTTGATTTCCAAACCCTAATCCTTGATAGGGTAAGAGGCCATCAAAGCAATGCCACAAATACCACCAATCTCAATAGAGCTATGCACCATTTTAATGTATCCTTCTTCACCCCAAGAAGTACCCCATGAGTTCTTCACAATCCAGTACTTGAGTCCATTTTCGACGCCATATCCGACAACGGCAACCCCGTGGTTCAAATTCTTCCCACAATAGCCCGAAAAGATCCCTCTTGAGTAGAGCTGAAATTCATAACCACCGGCATCAATGGCAACCGATACCGGCTGTCTAGCTACGGCAGCTTGCAACGAGTCCTGGTTGCCGGGAGGTATCGTTTTGTAGCCGCTTATTGTTGCTTCTTTCTTTCTTTTGTATTTATCGCACTTGCCATCGCGGCCCTTGTATGGATAATCCTTTTCTGCGCTTATGCCGCGGTTCTTTATAATGAACTCGAAGGCTTTTTCCATGTATCCGCCATTGCAGCCCTGGTTATCGCGATTGACATCGCAGTCGATGAGCTCTTGCTCTGATAAGGAGACCAACTTGTTGGTCTTGATCTTGTTGATGCCTTCTATTGCTGCAACTGCAGAGAATGCCCAGCAACTGCCTGCAATGAATATATATATGTACATATATGGATGTATGTTTGTGTTTGTAATTGAGAAATTTTGCACAAAAATGAAAGGTAACTTTAATGTCATTCTACCAATGAAGGTGAACCAAAATTTTAGGTGTGCATGTTTCTTACAATGTTAGAGCCTAACTTCATAAAATTTCTTTTACAAGATTTTAGCAAATTTACAGTATTCACTAAATTTTTGTCTATAAAAAAATCAAATCTAAGTAATTATTTTTTTTTTATTTTTTATATTATACTGAAATTTAATTTTATATTCAAAACACCACGTCTAATACCTATTTATATCACACCATATAACTATTCAAATTCAAAATTTTTACTATTGAAATCTAAAAACCCAAAATCCAAACTTTCAAACAAATACATTTTCTCAAAAAAATTAATATATTACACATATTTATTATTTTTATATTATTTATATAATTTTGTATACTTCACATAAAAAATATCATTTAAAACTATTTTACAAAACAAACATACTCTCAATCTCTTTCAAGTTGCCTGAGGTTGACTTTGTGAAGTTGGGTTAGCTCAAACCGTAAGGTCATGAATTTAAATCCTGACACCGCGTGTCAATAACAATTTCAAATGTAAAACTATTTGTCTTATGTGAAAATCACAATACCACAAGCTTATTTCTCAAGAGTTGAGAACATGATCGGAATCTAAATCTAATTGATAGATGATGTTAAATGACCGTCTCCCGTATCACGTAACAGTTTAAACTTTTAGGAATACACTTTATAGCTTTGTATAAAGATACCATGATAGACAATGACCGTTGTTTATTTATTTATATTTTACCGAAGTCAATCAAACACTCACGAAAGAATGCAATAGGAAATAAGATGACAAAAACATTCGTACCGCAAGAGCCTTGGTCCTTCATCGGAGTCACCGCACCCTTCTTCCTCCAATCCACACTAGATTGTGCAGTAAAGGTCACATTCGTCGTCGACACACTTTCATGCATTATAATATTCGATCTGTTACTTTTTCCGTAGCCCATGTACATCGATTGGAACTCGAGGTTTGTCATGTCTGCAAACTGATTGTCGGTGAGGACGTAAGAGAGATTCTGAGAATTGACGAATTCGATGAACTGAACATTGGACTGGTAGATCCCGAACCGCATGTTCCATTCGTCCCTGTTGTTGTATCGGCGTTTGTAGCGGCTGAGCCATTCCCGGTACCTCTTCTCCATGGCGTCGGTGTCGTTTTGCAGAGCGACGGCGGCGGCGATGAAGATTGTGGTAATTAGGAGGATGAGGTTTGTTGTGTTCATTGTGAGGGTGTGATTCCGATAGAATGAATATTTTGAGGCTACTTAATTATGTTATGTTAATTAGTATGTGTTGGAATTGGGAGTTTTGATTCAGTTAGAGTTTTTGTGCTCATGTTATGTTTATGTAGTTGCAGTTTGTTTGTTGTGTTGGGGGAGTTAGGCAAGTTTCTTGTGTCCTTTCTCCTAGGGATTCTTTCTTCTTCATTTACGTCTCTGTATACCTACCACTTCTCTTCTCTTATGCTGCAGAATATTTATACTTCCTCCGTTTCAGAAATAAATACCTATTCATTTTTCATGTAATTTTAGAAATATTAATATTATATTGGAATATAGTATGAATAAAATATAAATAACTAAAATAATATTATTAGTGTGTGTAATATAAAGGTAACGACATTTGTGTAATATATTATAATTTTGTAAGGGTATTTGTAATGTTAAGTAGATAGTACATTTACTAAAACATGAAATGAATACTTTGTCATGAGAATGACTAAAATGAAAAAATGGATACTGTGTTATGGGACGGAGGGAGTACTAGGGTGTGTTTGTTCGGGGGTTTGGATTTTAAGTTGGGATTTGAATAATAAAAATTTTGAATTTGAATAGTTGTATAATATGATGTAAATAAGTGTTGATATGATGTTTTGAATATAAAATTGATTTTTAGTATAATATAAAAAAATAAAAAATAGGTATTTGATTTGATATTTTTGAAAAAAAAAGAAGATAAATAGCATATTTAAAATCCAATCTCCCAAACAAACACACATTTAACTGTAGTAGTTTATTGGTGAGTATAAAACATGCCTATAATTTATACGAAAGTTAAATACTACCTCCCTCCCTAAAAAACAGTACATTTGTTTTTTCGTGTAAATTTTTAAATATTCGTATTATATTAGTTTATAGTAAAAAAGACAAAAATATCCATATTAGATTATGTGATAAAAAAAGTAATGATATTTGTGTAATATATTGGAAGTTATAAGAGTATTAATTATGTTAAGTAGGTAGTACAATTGCTAAATTAGGAAATAATATTTTTTTTGAAACGGACAAAAATAAAAAATGATTTCCTTCTTATGGGACAGAGGGGGTACTATATTTTTATTCTCCCGTCCCAGCTAGTTTGTCCCTTTTAGCTTAGGTACAAATTTTTACGTATTATGTAATTGGTAAATAATTAAAAAGTGTATGAGTGAAAATAATTATGAGTTTTACTTGTCAGAATTGATTTTCGATTTACTATTTCAATTTTTTTCCAAAAAATATCAAATCAAATACCTATTTTTTATTTATTATATTATATTAAAAAATTAATTTTATATTCAAATTATCATATCAATACATATTTACATCACATCAAACAATTATTTCAATTCTAAACTTTACTATTCAAAACAAAAACCCGAAATCAAAATTTTATAAGTAAACACACCCTATGATTTAATAAATATTTGTAACGGAATTCCGTCCCTAAAGTTCACGTAGCTAACGTAATTTTATTCCTAATTCCGTCTCTAATGTCATTAGTAACGAAAAAAGTAGATTTAGAAACAAAAAAATTTTGTTACACAAATGATTTTTTCTTGTAGTGGTTATTGAGTTATTAGTCTAGGATTTCTTTTTTAACCATAGGAATGCTTTCTGGAGCAGTGTGGGCTAACGAAGCATGGGGATCCTATTGGAGTTGGGACCCGAAAAAAACTTGGGCTTTTATTACTTGGATCATATTTGCGAGTTATTTACATGCTCGAACAAATATCAAATTTCATAGTACAAATTCAGCAATTGTAGCGTCTATTGGCTTTCTTTTAATTTGGATATAAATAGTTATAAATTAACATTAAGATGACTAAATAGTTTAATTAAATTATAACTTATGAATTTTAAAATGTAATTAAAGTATATAAGTATATTTTCAAAAAAAAAAGGAAATAAAAAATCAAAAATAGAAAAAATGAACAAATTAAGTGGGATTGAGGCAGTATTAGTGTGAAGATCATATTTACGTAAATTGTTTTTTTAATCATGTAACTGATTAATTATCTTTTTAGTTTCGTAACGGGAGTTGTCATAAACTAATTTTGTAAATAAAATTTTTTTCGCATTTTTAGTCTTCTTGCGTCGGAGATGCCTACGTAACACTTGCGTGGCTCGCCAGAGGACACAGCGACACCTGGCGGACATGTCGATTTTTTTTATAAATTTTTTAATAAAAAGGAGTTTTTTTTAAAAAAAATTAAATATTTTCAGAAAAAAATTGAAAACTGAAAATTAAAAAAAAAAAAAAGAAAGAAAGAAACTAAAAAAAAAAATTCATGTGTTCGCCGGATGTCATTCACCTGGCGGACACGTGCCATCCGGCGAGCCACACAGGTGCCAGGTAAGTATCTCCAGTGTCGGAGAACTAAAATTACCATAATTATTCAGTTACTGAACTAATTTGCGATATGCTCCAACTTCGAAACTAAAATAATTAACGGGTTAGTTACGAGACTAAAAAAATCAATTTATCCTTATTGAAAATATATATACATATTTCTATAAAACAGACAAAAAATAGCAAAATATAAGCATTTGGATGAGACTGTATTATTATTTTATTTAGTTTTATGCTTGTTGGATTTGTATTTATTTTTGTAATTTTATAAAAAAAAAATATATATTTTTTTTAATTTAAAAAAATGTCAATTTTATATAATAAAAACATAAAACAAATTTTAGAAAAAAATATAGACTTTAATTAATTATTGTTTATCTTTGCTACAGGTAATTATTTGTACTCTCGCTACAAAAATAAAAAATAAAAAAATAGTATATTTAAACGAAATTATGTCCTTAAAATTCACGTAGCTAACTTAATTTCATTTCTAATTTCGTGTCTAATGTCATTAATAACGAAAAAAAGTGAATTTAGAGACAAAAAAAATTCGTTCCAAAAATGATATTTTCTTGTAGTGTTTGATTTAGTTTTGGATTATTTTAAACATTGAGCTCTACTTATATGTCCACTTTTGAAAATTTTGGCAATAATAATAATTTAAAATATATATATATTTGTTATGTTCTTTCAATACTATTTTGTTTAATTACAATTCCAAAAAATAATAATAAACAATACAAAATATTTTTTACAAAACTAAAAAAGTAGAAATAAATCCTTCAAATACTCATTACAAAAATTAAAAATAAAAATAAAAAAAACACTCAAATATGCATTACAAAAAGTAAAAAAAAAAATAAAAATCAAATATTCAACTTATATAAAACAATATATTTTATACTTTTGATATAATTTTTTTTATAATATATATATAAAAAAAAATCAATTTATCTAAAAGCGTTGAATCAACGAAACTATCCTTATCGTATGAAATTTATATTTGTATAAAATTAGTGGATGGCCAATTGAGGGGCATAAGAATTAAGATCATATAAAGAGGAGTATGGCTAAGATTCTTTCTTACCCGAAGCATGCTAATAGTGCTCAAAGAAATACTGCATTATTAAATTGATACCATTGGCCCTCCAATTACTGCTAACATATAATATTTATGATGTCATATGTCGTGTGTGGATTATTATTATTATTATTATTATTATTATTATTATTATTATTATTATTATTATTATTATGATCTCAGTTTATATGTTTAGTATTTAAGTTAGATTAAAAGAAATCATGTATCCTCAAATTATTATTTTTTATATACATTTAATACGATGTCAATAAAGTATTGAATGATCCAATGCCCTAACTGCCTCGGCCAGGTTTAAATATATTTATGATCAAAGTCATTTTTTAACCTCCTTTTCTTCTCCCTCTTAATTTATTTTATTTTTACAGGTTGTAAGATAAATCGAAACAAGAATCTTTACACTTTTTATATTCAACACACAAAATGATAAATAAGTATATAAACAATCAAGAAAATATATATGCATATATATTTCAAGTATTATATATATATATAATATAAGTGTACTTATTAATTTACTATATATGTAACAAAATCTAATTAAATAATTATCTTTAATGTGTATAGAGTGTTTTTTTTTTTTTTTTATTTATTTATTTGGTTTTATGATGGATGTTTTGAAAGAAAAAAATACATATGCTCCATCCGTTCCATTGAAAGTTTATCATTTTCCATTTTCGTCCGTTCCGAAACATAGGTATCATTTCCTAATTTAATAATTGTACTATCTATCTAACATAATAAATACCATTTCAATTTACACTATATTACACAAATGTCATTACTTTTATATTACACAATACTAAATATGGGTATTTTCGTCTTTTTTACTACAATCCATTATAATCCTAATATTAAAAAATCTACGTGCAAAAAGTAAACGACAACCTTGCACCGAGACAGAGGGAGTATATTTTTTTTTTGAAAAACGTAAAATTTAAATAATAGAAATTAGGGTTTTTAGGCAAAAGAAACACATAAATATTTTATGCTATAATGTTTGAAACTCTATTAAGTATGGAATTTGGATGGACGCACTTAATTAATACATGTCGTATACTTGATAAAATATTGAACATATATATATATATATGTATATGTATGTAAGAAAAGAGGGAATTGAAAGGCACGAGCATGTGGGCAGATATATATATATATATATATATATATTATGTATATATCGCTTGGAGACAAAGTAAAGAGGGGAAGCTGAGGCCTCTGCAAACATTTCACATGGCCATTTTCTAGCACCCTCACTTTCCACAGCTCATTCCCCTCTACCCCCACCCCCACCCCCACCCCTATATCAACAATTGTTCCAACTGGATATACATATATATATAAGTATAAATTATTACTTTGTCCAATCATTGAAGGACATGCATATATATGTACATGTATGGTACAAGTAAATTCCATGTGGTTTTACACCGTGTATGAGAGAGAGAGAGAGAGAGAGAGAGAGAGTTAAGGGTGTCATATGTTGAGCACTTATATGTAGATACCCATATACATACATATATATATATATCTATATATAGATACACAATGCATATAAACAATTTTTTTTTCTAACCCCACCTATAC